GAATATCCAACAACTAATCCAAGAGCGATATAGATCATTTGAAAACATGTTCTTACACCTGGATAAATGCGAGAATGTGAAAATCTCAGTTGAATATAAAGCTGGAAAAAAAATAAAACAGAAGACTGTATGATCAGAGGTGAAAGGTATTTCTAACAATGTATTATGAATAAATGTATTTTGAAAAAGGATTTTTCAAAATACCACAGTCAGCAACAACGTGGAACTTCGTACACACGTACATCAGTTCAAGTTGCCATATTACATTAGCACACAGATACAATTGTCCATTCAAATCCCGTAGTGACAGAGGTAGCAAAAGTATGAGCAGTAATCGGAAAGATTAGGGTTTGAAGACATTATTCAACGAGTACAATCTAGTTAAATAAATTTGGAAAGAGAAAAAAGGAACGAGAACAATTCAGAAGATTAGAATTTGGAAGAACACAAAGAGTGGATGCACGTGCGCCATTCAAGGTCTCTAACCATCGGTTGGTATCGTCTGTCGGATTCCAACCAGGTAGTCTACACCTACCAACATGACTCAGTTCACTTGTCAGCCACTTCATGGATTTCTGTTATGTTTTGGTCTGCCCACCCCTAGCTTTCTTCCAACCTACTCCTACACCACAAAACATCGCACGTCGGGGCAGTCGGCGGTTGGGCATACATAACACGTGTCCCAATCATCTCAACTGGTGAAGTCTCACTACTTCATCAATTGATTCGCCATCCTTACCTAGTACCCGTTTCCTGACAGCTGCATTACTTACTCGGTGGTCCCAGGATATACGAGCAATATTTCGAAGACACCTATGATCGAATACTAGTAACCTACGAATGTCCTATACTTTTAACGGCCATGTTTAGCCTACACCATAAATGACGTAAGTTGACAAAAGCTAGTTGAGCCTTCTGTATCCGTGCTGAGATTTCGTCCCACACCAGGTCACAAGGGTTGATGAGACCTCCAAATAAGTGAAGTGATCGACACGCTCAACTATTTCACTCCCTATCATTAGTTCAGGTGTCGATGCAACCCAATCCTGAAGCAACATTTTGCATTTCGAGGGGGAGAATCGCATCCCGAACATGCTTGCATTGTTGTTTAGAGTGGTCAGAAGACTCTGAATTTTGTCAGCGTCTTCACCAAATAGAACTATGTCATCGGCATACTCTAGGTCAAAAAGTGAGTCTCCCGGTAAAGTTCAACCCTTGGAAAGTAAGATGAGCAAAGTGTTATCTCTAAAAGCACATTAACGAAAAAGGTAAACAAGAATTGAAAGAGTGGACAGCCCTGACGAACACCACTTAAGGTAATCAATTCTGATGACAGTTTGCCATAAGCTCTCATTCGACCAGTTGTGTTGGAGTAGAGAGCCTTTATAAGGTTATTGTACTTCTTTGGTACTCTTTTCAGTGACAAACGCTGCCGTAGAATCTCACGATCAACAGAGTTAAATGCCGTCTTAAGGTCGAAAAATACTACAATTATGGGGCGTCGGAATGTGTGTCTATGTTCTAGGACTTGATGTATTGTGAATATCTGGTCTATACAGCAACGTCCAGGTCGAAAACTAACCTGCGATAATCTATTTCCTGCAGAATAAGTAATAAGAACTAGTAAAACATAAAATTAGTCACTACCTAGTGATCAATCAACGTAAATACTTCAGTTCTACAGGTCAGTCGCAGACCAAATAGCTCGATGGTAATATCTCAGACAGTAAAACTGAGTGACACAGGTTTAAACTGCACTGGTAACATCAGTGCCCTCGAGACTGTAGGTGCGTCTTGATGACAGCTGCGAAATAGCACGAAACCTAGGTTCAGTGCTTCCAGCTGACCTCCTTCAACTATCTAACATCTAAACACGGAAAGATTCAGAAACAGTGATTTGTTATTGAATTAACTTAATGGTTAATAATGGCCATAATATCAATGTAATGGAGGGTTTCATTGGTTTGATGAACGAATTACCGGCCGTTAAAAAGAATACAGGTTGATAGATGATCTGCAATGATACTACGTGATCGATTGATAGTTGCTCAAGATACGGGATTTCTGGCCCAAACCCCAGAACGATTTAAAGTCAAACACAAGACCACTAGACAGAATATTTTTTTCATGTAGTAAAATAACATGTTTCTATACAGAATATGAACACAATAAACATAACAAGGCAACATAACATAACATAGGCAATTAGAGGAAAACAACTTGTAGGTCACTAATTCTGCAATCAATCACGACCTTACTGCTGGGCGTAAATCTTTGGGCATCGTATCAAATTCGCAATGACTCTCTTCCGACTTTTTTATATCATTACTTTTGTCCATTGTACTATTGCGCGAACTAAAATTTTTATATATAATCTATTCCTTCTGAACTGTATTTAATTTTCAGTTCATGATATGTACCTGGTGATCAGATTTGACTCAGTTAAAAGTATTTTGATAAATTCAATCTCTAATTGTATTAAATGAATGAGTAATGGTTTCCACTTATCCATAATAACTGATATTCTTATTCCCGTTGCCAATGTTGTGAACTACGTTTGGGTACGGTAATTTCAAATTACAAACGTTTAGAAGATTCTTAAATGAAAGAAATCTACGAGAATTAAATGGACTGGACGACTAATACACAACACCTTGACAATGATATCCAGCGTGATTGGAAGAAAGAGAAGTCTTGTAAGTAAGATGCATTGATGAAAATCTCATAAGAATTAATTTACATCCACATTAATTCAATTATTTAAAAATTATTAAATTGGTACATCAGTACAAAGAGGCACCAAATAAAAAAGCGCCACATAAATCATTCGATTTGTGTGAGGTCTGGAACACTGCTCGGGTGCCCAAACTGAAGCAGGTGGTTTTCTTGGGGCGCCACACCCCAAGCCTTTGACCTACAGGTCTAATCCACAAGGCAGTGGAGCAACATCAGCAGATGCAATCCCACAGTAATTAGTGAACATTTGTTCCTTCACGATACTGCAGCCCATGTACACCATTGGTTCGAAATAAGGGTTTTCCAACTCTCCTAGGTGGACTCTTCGTGCCCACTGACCCGGTTAAAGCACCAGATATTCGCTCTTCGTCCTCTCAATTTCGTAAACAACACCCCCGACGCGAGAAGGCAGTCAGTAAGACTTCCCTGGCAGTGGTTGTATGCATGTGACCATGTGAGAGCATTTCGAGAGGGAAAGCTGACTTTCCCCACTCTCGGCCGTACCAGGGCATATGGGGGCAAATTATTAAATAATTATTGGTTACAGAATTTATTAACTGAATAATCACCACTCAAACACAAAATCATACAGAATCGAGAATAAAATCAACTGATTCCATAATGCATAAATCGAGAAGTGAAAATGCACTGAAAGTCAATAAATGAAGTTCTACTGAATGTAGTACTTGGAGATTCAGCATCCCCAAAAAATAATGATTGATTCCAAATGAAGTCTTTCATTAACAGTTTTTTTACGTCATCGGTTACGTTGCTATGCATATGAAAATTTCACTGCATTGACTTTTGCGGATGAATTATATTAAATCTCGAAAATACTTTTTTAACCGGCATAAATAACAATATTTTGTATAAATCATCTGATCATGAGATGGTGAAGATTTGTAGCTGAGGTGGATGATTTTGATGGAGTTTTGTTCTCTGAGCTGGACTTCTTTCTGAAGTTTGTGCTGATGTCGTTCAGAAGAACGATGAAAGCTCCATGACCAAACCATCCAGCTCAGAGAACAAAACTCCATCAGAACCATCTGATAATCCTAGAAAAAACTACAGTTTTAACATTAAAATCATTTTTTCAGACGTATTATCTAGTCTTTTTTGAAACCAAGAGGTAGGGGTTAATTTTCTAAAACATTAAAAAATCAAGGAAAACAAGAGGATATTTACTTTATAACCATGTAAACTAATAAATGTCTATTACTTAGTTGGTAAAGTCCCTAATTGTGGACTATAAAGGAATTCTGACCATACCCTCCACTCGCAACTAATTCAGAAATGAAAGACAAACATCGACTAATACATTTACTAAATAAACATTTAGACGACACAGCCACCTATCATGCATTAAAAATAAATCGACTTCCAATGTTGGACGGATTATGGTTATACAAACAATTCAATGGTAAAATCTGGTAAGCGATAAAAACAGAGAACATCTTCAAATACTCGATCACAACCACAACGAAACTCATGACCTACGGGTTTTGAAGTGAAAAAAGCAAACACAGTTATAATTCTGTGATCTACGGTCCGGTCATTCAATTATAATCACCGTTAGGTATTATTTTTAACATGGAATGATATCCGATAGGAAATCAAGGATAAGCGCAAAACGATAAATAGTAGTTCTTTCTAGCCTTAGCGACGATTATGAAGGTGAAATTTTAACCACTTTGGTTAATAAAGTCAGCACATTCAAACCATACAACTAGATAACATTCAAGTTACCATGCCTTAAAAGTCAGTAAAACTATATACATTTTTGTAAAATATGGTATTTTAAGTTGACTGAAAAAACTGACTGAAGTGTAAAAGATTAGAAGAATAACAGGCATATTTCGTTTAGCCGCTAAACTATGGTATAAGCTCTACTGAAGCACTGGTTCGAACCCGTTACCTGAAGTCAAGATTAACAGTCCGATAGTATCATTAACCCATACAAAAACTGTCTAAAGGCCGAGTATATGAACCTGTTACTTGGTTGTTGAATCAAAAAACCATTCCACTAAAACTAAATAGGGAAAAATATGACAACTGAAGTTCGTTTAAAAATCATAAAAATGTATGGTTTTGAAAAAGTAATTGGGTTAACTCACACATAGAAATATAGCGGTATATATTGCAATTGAGGTATGTCCAGATGGGAAAGATTTTCTATACATATAAAATTGGAATAAAATGAACAAAAAAGAATTTAAGGTAGAACTGATGATAAAAAATTGATTACAATTATCAGATAGCATCCACATAAACCCGTACGCATCGTGTTAAGTCAGTATCATTATAACGATTTTCCAGTTGAAGTTATTTATTTATTCAATACCCCCAATTTGAAATGTATATAATTAAAAGGCCATAAAGTTCATGAAGAGACCAGTAATTCCTATGTCGCACAGTGACAGAACTGAGCTGAGTAGATATTGTTGTTGAGGAGACTAGATAAATTAAACTTTTTATGTCACTGAAGCTCTCCGTGAAATCACTATGTCTGAGTAGTGTAAGTAGGTCTAGACTATGTTATTAGAATTTAAGGGATAATCGACATCAGTGGTTAGGAAAATACCTGAAGACTATCTTCCAAAAGAACGGCTACCCAATCAACTTGATCAAAAAATACCAGCCAAACGCATCAGCAGAAACAAAGTCAAATACAGAAACCAACAAATGGGGTGATCCTGCCATATATAAAAGGCATATCAGAAACTACAACGAGATTTTTGAAGCCTTTTGGAATAGGTGTAGCACACAAACCAACAAAATCACTTCAGTCAATCTTATGCAAACCAAAGGAGGAAATGACAAAAGAGAAACCGAATATCAACTACAAAATAAATTGTTCCAACTGAGAAAAACACTACACTGGACAAAGCGGACGCCCTTTCCATCTTTGCCTGGATTAACTTATATCAATGCATATGGACAACTGTGAACACGCATTCGACTGGAAAGACGTTGAGATCTTGGACAGAGGAAGTTCTAAAAACACCAGAGAATTTTTAGAAGCTTGACATTCAGGTCAGTCAGTAATCAACGAACACATTCAAATCGATCCACTTTATCAACCAATCAGAAAAATTATGGACAAGTATAAAACCAAAAATCAAATCAATAGGAGATACAACCAAAATAAAGTAAACAATGACAGGTTTAAGGTCAACAATAACTAATCAACATCGAGGTCTACAGGACAAGCTGTGAGCCATATGTGAGGAAATTCGAACACTTCACTTCTACCCAAAGTTTGTGCTGATGGTGTCGTTCGGGGTAACGACAAAAACCCCAAGACCACACCATCCAGCTCAGAGAACAAAACTTCATCAAAAACTATATTTAGCCCTTTTGCCATTATCGATTGTACCATTATTTCGATTTACACGGTTAACAAGCGATAAACTGATCATAATTTTGAATTTGGGCCTCAGTACTCACATTAGCTTTAAGGTTTGAGTAGGCAAAAGCCCATAGTTTATGCTGAAGTAGATTCAGAAAGGTAATACTGAGTTTGCACATACTTTTACTGTATACAGCACATCAATAATTATTTACTGATACTAAATTATTTAGAAATTAAGAAAATAATCAGCCTTTGACAGTTCGTCGGGAAATGAAGAACGTTCACATTGAATTAACATCTTTTAAAGCACGATGGTTTCTTAGATGGAATCTTAAAAATAGTTAATGGCTTAAAAGCTTGTTAGAGATGCTACATACTTTAATATAGGACTCATTGTCTATTGTATTTTAAAAGATATCATAACTAAATGTTTAAAAAAAGGTTCAGAAAGTATGCAAACGTAAAAATGGAACATGGATTACAAATTTGAATGTTTTTATCCTGTTAGTTGAAGATTTAAATAATCTTAAGACCGCATAGAAAGAAAAACACCATGGCAGATTGTTAAAAGGCGCAAACACCAGGAGAGAGTTCCAATAACTTAAGAACTTTTAACAAATAAGTTCGACGCATTTAAACGTGACTGAACAAATGAATGGACACCATCAACATCGAATCCAACACAGGTGTGCGTTAGCCCATGTCAAAATACCGTATTAGCATGACAAGATGACGATAAGAAAATAGAAAAATAATATAGTAATAATACTGAGAAGACCAATAGTTGGGAATATAATTTGAAAAGGTATGATTGGAGAGATATTCGAGTTTAATAGAGTGAATTAATTAAAGATTTAACGTATCTACGCCATAATTCTGTCCCATGTCACCCGAAGCCTCCGAATATTGAGCGCGATTACTATGCATAGCCCAACCAAGTAATTTGCGTCTACCAACAGTGAATGACTTTATGGACTGATATGATTTTTAGGTCTGGTCACCTCCAGCTTTTTTCCAACTTACTTCAGCATTAGAAAGCATCGCTTGTCGAGGTTGCCGGTGATTGCATTACTATCAAAAAGCTTTGATATATTGTCGTAAATATTGTAAAACATTTTTATCACACACTGAAAGATTATTTTAAGACCTTCCTTGAAAAACTATTCGGGTTAAACAAGCTGTTAAAGTAGTCCCATCCGAATAAATTCAAGATAAAAAGTACAGCGGATAAACATAGTCTGCTAATATCAAGTGTTATGTAGTAGCGTACTATAGTACGGCACAGCTCGATTACATAATCCTAATTCTCTATTAACTGAGTAGTTGAACACGTTCGTTTACCAAACATAGATTCACATTTATTGTGAAGGCTGATAAACATTACCCGATTGATAAATTTAATAAAGCAAAATATCAGAGCTGATTTATCACTCGAAGGACCATAGGAACCTTACCAAGTGGAAGTTGAACTAATCGGTAAAACACAAACCTCTGTAGTCCGAAAAATCTATGGATTATGAAATCGTTACTTTCACAATACAAGAAATGATACTATGAATCGACAATTTGAAATCTACCATAAAAACAATAGTGTCATAGCTATCTTGTCAACAAAAGCTGGTCATTACCTCAGGCCACTTGATTTGTCTGATGAACAAGTATAATTACCAACAAAACCCAAGATCGTAGTTTGAAGGTCAGAAGGTTTGCATGCATCAAGAAAATTTGGACGCAGACGACCAAATGAAACTTTACCTACATCCGTAAGACCGATAGTAGCAAAGTAGCCAAAACAAGCAACAATGAGAGAATCATAAATTGGATACAAAACCTACAAAGTTAAAAATTTCATGATTTATAATCCGATAAACAAACCACCGGTATTCTATGATGAGTTTTTCTTAAAGATTTTGCACTCACAATTACTTCACCCACAACTATCTGAAAGCAAATTAATATAAAATTCTGAGAGTAGGACGAAAATACCGTAATCAATATTAGTAGTGACGAAACAACATAAAGGACAGTACTTGAGATAGTGTTCTGTCTAAATGGTTTTTTGATTGATTCATCTTGAATAAAGTATCCTCTTTTGTACGGATCAAGATTCTGCAGAACGGTATTGGTGATTATCACTATAAATTGAGAACGGTTTGTATGTGAAATAAACTGAAATTACAAGCAACAATAAAACCCAAATCCGATCCCACTCTAATTATACCGTCAATCAAGGGTTTCATGGTAAACGATACCGAACAGTAGGATCTCAACACACTAATGATTTTGAAAATAAGAAAAAAATGCACCAGCGTTATTGAAGAACAACATAAAACAAGGAGGCAAAAACATTCTAAATAATTTTGTAAAGCAAGAAATGAATATGACATATTTTACCAGTTTTCAGAAGTTAACATCTAGAAACTTACTAAATAGTAAAGCAATTTTACTTGAAAAGAAGTTTTTTTCAAGTGAACAAGCATTACCAGGACTGGATGGTGCTTTCAAAGACAGACTGAGTCCTCAAGTAACTAATAATTGTAGGAAACAATATAGGCCTCTTAGTTTATCCACATTTATTATGTCTGAAGATTAGCCTTATCAATAAGGGAAAATATGATAGCCAATCTCAATACTGTTTTATCTTGTAGCCAACCATATATGGTGATTCTCCGTTATCTCATACATACATTTAGCACCAATATATCAACGAAAACCAGTTTGCTTGATTAAACTTAAATGCGTCGTTGAGTAAAACAGGTGGGTAACAGATATCTAGATCTCCACACTTTGGATAATTTCGTCCGTTTGAGGTGAATTTCGGGGAAAGTGAAATAGGAAACTTTGGGGAAACAGCACAAAAACTCCAGCATTTCCCCAGATCTGGGGAAAATCCCCAAAATGCTTGCGGAAACTTAAGGTTTTCCCTAATATTTGCGCAGAATATTATAACAGTTTGGGGAAAACTACCATATTTCTCACGACTTTAAGGAAAACCTTAAAATTTACCCAAAATATTGAAACCGAAATGCATGAAATTCATGTTGAAACTGTATATGATTCAATGTAACAACATGATACATCTGTCGTATTCAGTCACAAAATGAGAAATTCGTGTCATTCTATATATGTAAGACATACGTAATTAAGGACCTCGGTCAACAAAAAAGAACTATCACGATAAATGTGACATCCTCAAACCCTGCGCGTTGCTGTAGAGAGAATTAAACAGACACAAAATCACTATAACAAGTGAAATATGATTGATTTATTAGAAAACACTATTCGTACTTTACGTTTGCAAAGAAGGGCTAAAAGTTTTCAACATACAGTGAAATATGTAGTAAATCTTCCTAGAGGATAAATCAATAGAAAATCCAGTATTTTTGTCACAAGCTTGTATAAACCTATTTATTTCTTGGCTCTCGCTTTTTGTTGTTCTTGTAGGATTCTGGGTATTCCATAATGACCAACGGATAATATTCCAGTCATTTGACCTCTCGTTTTTAAACCCCCTATAGCATGACATACTGGCTGTCGCTCATGAATACACCGATGCACATATATGCATCTTGTTCTCAATTACCCGCTGTTATAATGACAGATCATTATTATATTTACTATCTATGTTTACAGATTTCAGTGATATCTTAATTATATGCTTTATCTGAATGTTCATCTCGAACTATAACAATTGTGATTGGGATTATTATTCACTTATAATTGTGGATTACCAGATCAAAACAAACACGAACATGCCAACTACTGACAATCTGAGTGACATCCTGTATATTTTTCTTGGATATATAATTTATATTTGATATATTATCATATTAATTTTTGACGTTGTAGCTTTGTCATTATTTTTGGAATTGATATATTTTTGGTCACCACAGTAGTAGTTTCTGGATACCAGCAGCTGACACATTACAGAGAAGAGGTTGGCTGATTGCAGTATGGAAATAATAGTGATAATCCGCTTGCTAAGAGAACACGAGTGTTTCAAGTGTAAATAAATAAGTGGCTTGATTGATTATGTTCAAGAACATTCAAATGATTGGTTACGGAGATTATAATAAGACAAATGGGAAGTAGTTACTAGCTATTCAGTAATAATGACTATGTTAATTTATGAAACATGCACCAGGCACTGGTGGTACAAGAGGGGTATGGTAATCCACAGGTGAGTACTTATTTGTCAAGTCACCTCTTCAAGCTATCTTTTGAAGGAACGTGGTCAATTTCGACTGGGATAGCATTCCAAATGAGTCAACTCGTAATGAAAAATTTGAGAGCGTACTTGGTAGTCCGCTTTTTGATGTGCAGTTTTTTCGAGAGCGGCTTTGAATAGTGGGATATTTATGTTCTGGCGACATGCTCGCGTCTGGGTGTTCCGATGTGCCTAATATGTGTGTGCCATTAGTAAACCACCTCTCAGTCCCCTGTAGCTCGGTGAGAATAATCTCAGTATATGTAGTCTGTCCTCGTGAGACTTATGTTTTGACCCTATTACCCATTTGGTTGCCTGTCTCTGTGCTCGGTCCAAGAGCAAGCAATGGGGACTTAGTGACCTCGTGGACGTCAAGGTGGGGACATGCTTACTTACTTACTTACTTACTTACTTATGCATGTTACTCTCAATGGAGCATAGGCCGCCGACCAGCATTCTCCATCCAACCCTGTCCTGGGCAATCCTTTATAGCTCCGTCCAGTCGTAATTCATCGTTTTCACATCTGCTTCTATTATCCGACGCAATGTGTTCTTTGGCCTTCCTCTTTTCCGCTTCCCTTCAGGATTCCAAATTAGGGTTTGTCTCGTGATGCAGTTTGACGATTTGCGTAATGTATGTCTTATCCATTTCCATCGTCTTTTCCTAATTTCTTCTTCAGCTGGAAGTTGGTTTGTTCTCTCCCACAGAAGGCTATTGCTGATGGTATCCGGCCAATGGATGTTGAGTATCTTGCGAAGACAGCTATTTATAAATACTTGTATCTTCTTGATGGTGGTTGTTGTAGTTCTCCAAGTTTCAGCTTCATACAGTAGAACTGCCTTGACGTTGGTATTGAAGATTCTCACTTCGATACTGGTTGAAAGTTGTTTTGAGTTCCATATGTTCTTCATTTGTAGAAATGCTGTCCTTGCTTTGCCAATCCTTGCCTTTATGTCTGCATCTGAACCTCCTTGTTCATCGAAGATGCTTCCTAGGTATGTGAAGGACTCTACATTTTCCAGAGTTTCTCCATCAACAGCGATTGGATTGCTGTTCTCCGTTTTGAATTTGAGGACCTTGGTTTTCCCTTTGTGTATGCTGAGGCCTACTGATGCAGAGACTGCTGCTACACTGGCTGTCTTTGTCTGCATCTTTTAGTGTGTAGGAGGGCTTGGTCATCTGCGAAGTCCAAATCGTCTAATTGATTTCGAGCTGTCCATTGTATTCCGTGTTTTCCTTCAGATGTCGAGGTCTTCATAATCCAGTCGACCACCATAAGAAAGAGGAAGGGAGAGAGTAAACAGCCTTGTCTGACTCCGGTCCTTACTTGGAATGCATCTGTCAGCTGTCCTCCATGCACTACTTTGCACTGTAGTCCGTCGTATGAGTTCCGGATAATGTTGACAATCTTCTCAGGAACTCCGTAGTGTCGAAGAAGTTTCCATAACGTCCTCCTATCCACACTGTCAAATGCCTTTTCATAATCAATGAAGTTTATGTATAGTGACGAGTTCCACTCAACTGATTGTTCGACGATGATCCGTAGTGTTGCAATTTGGTATGTGCACGATCGATCCTTACGGAATCCAGCTTGTTGATCTCGAAGTTGGGTGTCTACTGCATCTTCCATCCGGTTCAGCAACACTCTGTTGAAGACCTTCCCTGGTATCGACAGTAGTGTAATGCCTCTATAGTTTTCACATTTGCTCAGATCACCTTTCTTTGGAATCTTGACGAGGTGCCCTTCTTTCCAGTCCATCGGCACTTGTTCCTCCTCCCAAATCTTTTTGAATAGAAGGTAAAGCATGCTTGTGGTTGCTTTGATGTCTGATTTCAGTGCTTCAGCTGGTATGTTGTCGGGTCCCGTTCTTGATTTGTCTGACGACCATTCTAATTTCTTCCGTCGTTGGTGGGTTGACATCTATAAAAAGATCTATGTGTGCCGCTTCGATGTCTAGTGGATTCATTGGAGCCGGCCTCTTCAGGAGTTCCTCGAAGTAGTCTACCCATCTGTTCCGCTGTTGTTGAATTTCGGTGATTGGCTTGCCTTCTTTGTCTTTGACCGGTCTCTCTGTTTTACTGTATTTCCCTGCTAGTTTCTTCGTTGTATCGTGAAGCTGTTTCATATTTCCTTCTCTGGCAGCTTTTTCTGCCGTCGTTGCTAGTTCTTCCACGTACTTCTTCTTGTCGGTTCTAATGCTCCTCTTCACTTGCTTGTTTGCTTCTGTGTATTCAGCTTGTGCTTGGACTTTCTCTGTTCGTGTTCGGCTGTTGTTTATTGCTGCCTTCTTGTTCTTCCTTTATTTGATCTTGTCTAGAGATTCTATAGAGATTCACTCCTTATGATGGTGTTTCTTTAGGCCCAGAACCTCTTGACACGTTGAAGTTAATGCTTCCTTGATGCCTTTCCAGTTGTCCTCCATACTAGTTTCTTCTTCTCTCAGTAGATCTTGTAAGGCCTGGAACCTGTTGTTGAGAGCTATCTTGAATTCATTGAGTCTGTCAGTATCTCGAAGGAAGGCTGTATTGAACCTTTGTATTGCTGTTTGTCCAGTTTTCCATCTTTTTTAGCTTCAGTTTTAAATTGGCCACAACTAGGTGGTGATCTGAAGCTACGTCAGCGCCTCTCCTGGTTTTCACATCTTCCATTGTCCTTCGGAATTTTTTGTTGATGCAAATATGATCTATTTGGTTCTCTGTAGTGTGGTCCGGTGAGATCCATGTAGCCTTGTGTATACGCTTGTGTGGAAATATTGTGCCTCCTATGACCAATTTGTTGAATGCACATAGATTTGCAAATCTTTCTCCATTTTCGTTTCTTTCTCCCAGTCCATGTTGTCCCATAATATCTTCATATCCAGTGTTGTCTATTCCGACTTTGGCATTTAGATCTCCTATCAGAATAGTTAGGTCCTTTCTTGGGCATTTCTCAATGACTGACTGCAGCCGCTCGTAGAACTGATCTTTAATGTCGTCGTTGCTATCATTTGTGGGTGCATAACATTGGATAATATTCATTAAGATCCCCTCCTTCTTTGTTTTGAATGATGCTTCGATGATTCTGGATCCGTGAGATTCCCATCCTACAAGTGCATTTCGTGCTACTTTGGACAGCATAAGAGCGACTCCCTGAGTGTGTGGAGCATTGTCCTCTTCGTGACCGGAGTATAGCAGCATCTCTCCCGTAGCTAGCCTTTTCTGTCCAGCTTGGGTCCAGTGGGTTTCGCTGATTCGCAGTACGGCCAAATTGTATCTCCTCATTTCCGTTGCTATTTGACTGGTCTTCCCGGTTTCCCACATTGTTCGAACGTTCCATGTACCTACGAAAATTTTTGCTCTGGTTGTTAGAAGGGGCATCGGCCTCGTGGCTTCCGATGGAACTCGGCTTTCACCATGAAGCGTCATGATTCTTTTAAATGAAGACCTTCTAACTCCCAGGGCAGAGTTTAAATGGTTTGGATTATTTTTTTCTGGTGAGTGTTTTTTTAGCGAGTTAGTTTTCTACGGGATGCGGACGCTAACCACATGCCCAACGCTCCTCCTTTACCCGGGCTTGGGACCAGCAGTAACCCTATAAGAGCTACAGGCGGAGTTCCTTCTTTTCTAGTTCCATCCAATTCTTATTCATTCTCCTCATGTCTATCTCCATTTCCCGGCGTAATGTGTTCTTTGGTCTTCCTCTCCTCCTTTGGCATTGAGGATTCCATGTGAAGGCTTGTCTTGTGACGCAGTTGGGGGCTTTCCTCAATGTGTGTCCTATCCACTTCCAGCGCCTCTTTCTGATTTCTTCCTCCGTTGTGATCTGATTTGTTCTTTCCCAAAGTTGTTTGTTGGTAATAGTGTCCGGCCAACGGATTCGAAGTATTTTGTGTAGACACTGTTAATGAACACCTGTATATTCTGGATGATGGCTGTCGTAATTGTCCAAGTTTCCGTCCCCTACAGTAGAACAGTCTTCACATTTCTGTTGAAAATCCCGACTTTGGTGTTGGTTGACATTTGTCTTGAGTCCCAGATGTTCTTCAATTGTAAATATGCTGCTCTTGCTTTACCGATCCGCGCCTTCATTATATACGTGTTCGATTTACTGTTTTAAATTTGTATCACACAGTTATAAGAGATCATTCATTTCAAATATAATTAATATAACCCTAGGTGTGTACTCACAATAATTACATAATGAGGGCATCATTGTGGTCTGTTAATGTAGATAATAAATAATATTAACGTTCTATTATTGAAATAACTAATATGTGAAAACCAGAAGTATGTTGTGTGCAGTAGTGTATTTGTGAGCAATAATCAATGTGTTATACTATTGAAGTACAAAACGACAATGAAAGTTCAATGTCAATTTTTTCTTTATAACTATTTCAACGGGGTCTGTTGTGAAATAGTAACTCAATGATGACAATGGCGGATATTTCACTGATTGAAATCATGAGCCAATTGAAGCTAGACCTTCATGGAAAACCTGGAAGGACTGGACGGTAGTTTCGCCCCAGGGCGGGACTCCTCAACGGTGCGCATCCACGACCCCATACCTCGCGGGACTCGAGCCCAGGACCTACCAGTTTCGTGCCAGGCGCTTAACCAACTAGACCAGTGAGCTGGTCGCATCAGCATAAGATGATTGGATCGGTGCATGCTGTGTTGTATCGGAGAATCTTGCTTTTCCCTTTGTGTATGTTGAGACGTGCTGTTGCTGAGGCTGCTGCTACACTAGACTTCTTGTCTTACATTTGTTGTTGCGTGTGCGATAGAAGAACCAGATCATCTGAGAAGTCTAGATCGTCGAGCCTCATCCTAGATGTCCACTTTATGCCGTGTTTCCCTTCAGATGTTGACGTCTTCATGATCCAGTCGATCACCAGGAGAAAGAGAAAGAGTGGGAGTTAGCAACCTTGCCTAACACCGGTCTTCATTTCAAACGACTTTGTCAACTGTCCTCCATGCACGATTTTGCAGCGTAGTCCATCAGATGAATTTTGTATGATATTGACTATATTCTGAGGTACACCGTAGTGTCGAAGATGCTTCCATAGTGTTGTTCTGTCCACGCTGTCAAATGCTTTTTCGTAGCCAGTGAAGTTGATGTAGAGTGATGAATTCCATTCAATTGATTGTTCCACAATGATCCGTAGAGTTGCGATTTGGTCTGTACACGATCTATCCATACGGAATCCTGCCTGTTAGTCACGAAGTTGGGTGTCTACGCAGTCCTTTATCTTGTTTAACAATACCCTGTTGAAGACTTTCCCCAGTATTGAGTGAAGAGTGATGCCCCTGTAGTTATCACACTTTCTGAGATCGCCTTTCTTCGGTATTTTGAACAGGAGTCCTTCTTTTCTGTCTTTTGGTACTTGTTCCTCATCCCAAATCTTATTGAAAAGAATGTGAAGTATCCTTGCAGTTGCCG